GCCTTCGAGCAGGCCGCGCACTACTCGCGCGCGGCGTCTCGCCGCACAACGCCGAACACGCCGCGCACCGAGCGCGGCGAGGTGCGCTTCTATCACCTGGAGTTGGTCGATACCGATTCCGGCGCCACGCCCAGCGTGCTGCTAGGCGACCGGGCGGGCGAGGAGTACCTGGAGACGCGAAGCAACCCGCTGTCGGCGCAGGAGTTTGTCGAGCTACGGCGCGCCGACGTGCTGACTTTGCTCGTTGACGGCGAACGGCTGTTGGATGCCGGCCAGCGCCACAACCTGCGCTCTGAGATCCGCCAGACGCTGCACGCCTTCGTCGAGGCCGGCGTGGTCAGGACCACCCAGCGCTTGGCACTTGTGTTGACGAAGCTGGACGTCATCCGTAAGGCAGCCGATGGCGGCGAGCGGACCTTCCAGGGATTTGACGCGCTGGTGGCAGGCCTGCGCACCGACTACGGCTCAAACTTCGCGGCCGTCGAGTCCTTCCAGATCGCGGCGCAGCCCAGCACTGACGGCGCCAAGCACGGCGAAAACCTGGATCGCCTGCTGGCCTACTGGATGGCCGAGCCGCTGCGCTACCGCCCGGGTCCGATGACCTTCGAAGTGGCGGAGGCGGAACGCTACTTCGACCGCCTCACGCCTGTGCCGAAAGACGTCCAATGAGCAAACATTCCGTCGTCGTCATGGGCCTGCCGGGCTCCGGCAAGACCACCTTCCTCGCCGCTCTGTGGCACCTGGTCAGCGAGAAGGAAGTGCCCTGCAAGCTGACCTACGTATCGCTGCAGACCGGCAACATCGAGCACCTGCATGAGATCGCCTCCCAGTGGCGGGCGGCCAAGAAGCAGGAGCGCACCGCCCAGGGCGGCGACAAGCTGGTTTCGATGATCCTCAAAGCCGAAGGTGGTGATCCGCAGACCGTCACCTTCCCCGACATCGCCGGCGAGGCCTTCCTGCAGATGTGGGGCCTGCGCGAGTGCGACGAAACCGTCGCGGGCTGGCTCAAAGAACCCGGCGTGCTGATGTTCATCCACGCCGACAAGATCACTGTGCCGAAATGGGTGATCAAAGAGAAGCTGCTCATGGAAGACATGGGCATCCCGGTCGAAGACCAGGCTGAGGCGGAGGAAGTGATCGACTGGTCGCCAGATTTGGCCCCTACCCAGGTGCAACTCGTCGACCTGCTTCAGTTAATGCAGGCCGACCCGTTGGACGTCGGGCCGCGACGCCTGGCCATCATCCTCTCGGCCTGGGATAAGGCGGCGGGCCGTGGTCTTTCACCGGAGCAGTATCTGGCCAGGCGCATGCCGTTGCTCGACCAGTTTCTGAAGCACGGACTGAACCCCGACTGGGAGACGCGCATCTATGGCGTCAGTGCTCAGGGCGGCGACTATGACGATGACCAGACCAAGCTGCCGGATGCGGAGCGCCTGCGTGACATCGACGTGCCGTCGGAGCGGATTTCGGTCGTCTATGCTGGCGCCAAGTCCAACGACCTCACCGAACCCCTGCAGTGGCTGCTGACGTAGTGCTTCCCTCGTGATCATCAAAGTTCATCAAGCGCTGCACGGATATTCGGAGGGACATCGCCAGCTCGCCTGCTCGGCAAGGCTCTCCCCGCAGGACGCCAAGCTGGTCCTCGTGATGAGCGACGTGTCGGGGTCGGGTGTCGCATCTGAAGGCAGCAGTTACCTGACCGGTTACCCGCTGATGGAGAGCGGCATGTACGCGCTGGCCAGGACCTGGTCAGCGCCGGAGATGCCGCGGCCCGGCTGCGTCTGGACCCACACCCTCTTCATCGAATTCCCGGACCTGGCTGCCATTGGCGCGCCGTCTCGGTTGGCCAAGCTCTTCGCCAGGCCGGACGCGCCGTCCTGGTCGACCTACAGCCTGCTCAGGACGCTAGACATGCTGGACGGCGACGAGCCCGAGCCGCGCATGTCGATGCTGGAGGAAGATTGGCTGGCGGCCGTGCTCAACGGCCTCTACGAATCGGCCGGAAGCCGCGTGGTCGCCAAGCGGGACCCGGGCGTACCGGTGGACGATCTGACGCTGCGGATCTGGGACCAGCAGTGGCCCCGACTTCGTCGCTCGTTCAGGTTCTGCACCTTCACGACCAAGGACCGCTCGACGCCAGGTGCGTCTTTTGATCTGCAGATCCTCCCTGGCGCCGACATGTCGAGCCGCGCGCGCCTGCCGAACACGCGCGAGGTGTCGCCGATGTCGGATGGGTGCCAGCCCGATTGGCTGATGACGCTCATGGACGACGCCCGGCAGCCCAACTACGGCGGGCTGCGGGACACGCTGAAGCGGCTTGGCGCCGACATTCTGGGCGGCCGCGAGGCCATGCCGGTCTTCTGCGCCTTCCACCGCCTCACCAGCGGCCCGGTGTCGCCGACCCAGCTCCACGACGCGATTGAGATGGTCAACGAGCCAGGTCCGCTCTCGACCTCGGACCTCGCTCGCGCCCAAATCGCCGACCACGTGCTTTCTAACGTCGAAGACGCCGACCGCATGGCGTTGGACTACCTCTGGGATCAGTGGCACTACATCGAGCCATCGCGCCTCCAGCAGCGCCTGCCGCAGGTGGCTGCGCCCCTTTGGCGGGCATCCCAGCGACGGCTGCTGGCGGCATTGCGCAACCCTGCGGACGATGCGTCGGGATGGGCGGCTCAGGTGCTCAAGGCGATACCAACCGACGAGTTGCTTGCCGACTGGCCCGAGCGCGACGTCCCGCTGCGGGAGTTGCTGCAGGCGCGTCCCGACCTGGTCGAGATTCCTGCCTTCTGGTCGGTGGTCGACATTCGCTCGGCCCATGACCTCTACGGCCTGCCGATGACGGACACGGCCGCCGTCGCGCTGGTGCATGGCATGGAGAGCGAGCCTGGCATGCGCGCCGCAGTCCAGTTGCTCGGACGGGTGCACGTTCTCGCGATCGTGCAGTTCTTGAGCGAGCTGAGTGAATCGGACGGCAGCGAGCTGCGCTGGGTGGGGTACTGCGTCGACGATGCGTCGGCGGTTGCAGAGTTCTTGAGCGGGGTGCAGGTACCGGCGCAGGCGTTGCTGATGGAGATCGCGCGCACGGTGGCGCCCGATTCGGTGCCCAACCAGTACGGCGACGATCCTTGGTACACCGCGTTGCTGAAGCTCAGAAATGCCAAGGGGGCCTTGCCGCATCGGCTGGCCGCCTATGCCTTTGCCCGCGCACTGGGCCGCAGCTCACGAAGCGTCGGCGAGTTGCTGCAGATGACCTTCGAGCAACTCCACACGGCGCTGTCCAGCTCCTCGCTGGCTGACGAGGACTGGCGGCTGATTGAGCCGCGGCTGTCTTGGGTGTCCGACGACAAGCGTTGGAACCGAGCCGGTCGTTTGAGGAGCGCGGTGGCCAGCACCTACCTGGACCGGCACCTCTGGCCTCGCGGTTTCGCGTGGATGGCCGCCGACAACAACGTGTTTGTCGCATTGATGGAAGAGACGGCAGAGCGCTGGGGCGGCAAGCGCTTCCTGAAGACTGTCGAAGAGTCCCTGGAGCAAGAGACTGACCCCTTCTGGCGGGCCCGGCGCGAGCTGATCCACTGGTTCCTTAAGCGCAAATAGCCGCAGGGTGATCGTCCGCTTCCGCTTGTTGACGAATCAGGGCGTCACCCAGATCTGAAATCTAGTAGTCGAACTTACGCACCAGAAACGCTCACGGTCTCTTACGGTTGACACTCTTGTTCACTTGGCCTGATTGTTGATGGACCCGGCTATGCCGATCCAGGCCTCCAATGTCATGGAGGCGCTCGAGGCCGACACGCTGGTGCGCTTTGGTCCATAACCTTGCTTGAGCGGCGGCGGCATAACGCCTCTCGCTGCGAAGCGTAGCGGGCCGCCCCGGACTGCGTTGCGCCGCAGAGACATATGTCTGCCGGGAGGAAATGGTGTCAGGCTACCGGAGGCCCACTGGTAGCAGAGTTATGCGTGCGCTTCTGCGCAGCCGGCAAAGTTATCTGTCCAGCAGCGGAGTCGGCTCGCTAAGTCGACTCGTGCATCGCGTCGGCCCTCGGTAGCTCGTCCTGGATCAGGTCCAGGCGCAGGAAGAGGCGTCCCGGGCCGGCATGGCGCCATTGGTGGGCGGCGATCACCTCGTCGAGAATGTCCACGCCGGTGTAGTGCTCGATCCCGAGGTCCACCGTGCGCATCCAGTGGAAGTCTCTGCACGGGGCGTCCAGCAGCGTGCGCACGCCTAGCTGCGCCAGAAAGCGGGGTAGGCCGGCGCGCAGCCGAGCCGTCTGCTGCAGGCCCGATCCAGAGCCGTAGATCAACTCGTCGCAATGCTGCCGATACAGCTACGCGCGATGCGCGGAGACGCGCTCGTGCAGTGAATCCGAAGCTGCATCGCCGCCAGGAGATCGCTCATCGAAGTCGTTGCGCCGAGTGCCCGCATTGCCGCTGTTGGTCACAACTAGGGAAAGCGACCGGAACGCCTTCATCGCAGACCGCAAGCTTTTGCCTTCATACGAGACATCCAGCCCACCTACGGGCTGATGCAAGTCGATATCGAGACCAGGGAGACCTTTAGCTGCCACTGACGCTCAGCGACCAAGCCGTAGACACCGAGCAGCAGTCCGCTTAGCAGGCCGGCCAGGCCGAGGATCGCCGCACCAGCGGGCGACTTGATGAACTCCCAAAGCCCTCGACTGCTGCGGGGATTCGTATCGGCTTCTCCCATTACTTCTCCTCCTTATGCCTACGGGAGATGTTCATGCGCGGCCGTGAAAGCCGCAACAGGGTCTGCGATCACATGATGCTGCTGACTGTGCCTCGGCGCTACCGGCGCCTTGCTCCCTGACCCCTGGGGTTGGGGTGTTAGGGATTTCCTGATGGGGTAGGTGAATCTCCCATGTGGGGAGACATGCTGCAGACAGATTGGCTGGATAGCATGCCGCTCATTAGATCGATGCCTATGCAGGGATGGTGAACTCATCTCGGCTGTGCGCGAAGCCGAGGGAGTTGAGATGCCCAAGCGATGCCTGGTGCGATTCGTGCGCCATGGATTGGTATGTTCTGCCGCCTTGTTGAGCGGTTTTGTTTTCGGGCCAGGCGCCATTGCGCAGGTGGCAGTGGGAGACGGTGGAACGCCGAGCTACAGCCAAGCCATTGCTGTGCCGCCTGGCGTCGGGGGCATGGCGCCAAAACTCAGCCTGCTTTACGCTGGTGGTGGGGTGAACGGTCCCGTCGGGCACGGTTGGAGTGTTCAGGGCTTGTCCGTGATCACGCGGTGCGCGGCCACTCTTGCGCAAGACGGCAAGACTGTCGGCGTTGCCTATGTGGCAAGTGACAAGCTGTGCCTTGACGGGCAGCGACTGATTCAGACCGATGAGTCCGGGAACGCCGCGCCCAGCGGCGGCAACAACGCGGTGGGCGTGCCCGTCACAACCCAGCTCAACGATGCGCAAGGCGTGGGTGCCAATGTCTATCGGGAATTCCGTACAGAGAAGGACATGTACGCGCGCATCCGCGCGTACGGTTACGCCAACGGCGATTCCACGGGTGCGAGCGGCCCGGCCTACTTCAAGGTGTGGACCAAAGCGGGGCAGATCTACGAGTACGGCGATGCGTCGGGTAGCCCGAGTGCAACATCGGCCTTGATCGCTCCACCGGGGAAGGCACCCATGGCCTGGGCCGTGGCGCGCATCAGCGACACACTGGGCAATGCTGTTGACTTCAAGTACGAGCAAAGGGATGTCCCATGGGGGAGTGGGCCGTCAGCTGGATCGCCTACCGTTGGCCACGAATGGAACATCCGAGAGGTTCAGTACAGCAACAACAAGGTCGTCTTCAACTACGACCTGGATGCGCAAGGCATCGACGCGCGTACTGACAAGTCGGAGGCCTATCAGCAAGGCCGCAAGAACGTCAGCTTGCGCCGCCTCAAGTCGATCACGACCTACGTGAATAGTCCTGCCACAGCACTGGGCGCCAACGGCGGCACGGCAGTCCGCACGACACAGTTGACCTATGAACCCGGCCCGGTGACCGGACGCATTGTGTGGTCAAGATCCAAGACTGCGCCGGTGGACCGAGCAGCACACGGTGCCTGCCTGCCACAAACTTCGCCTACACCCCTGGCACCAGTGATGGCTACCAGCCCAGTGGCGCGTTTTCCGCTGGGAGCCTTGCAACGCAGGATCTGCTCGGCGACGGCACATATGGTGTGTTGACGGGTGACTTCGACGGAGACGGCAAAACCGACATCCTTTACTGGTCGGACACGCCGTCCAACAACAAGCTCTATCTCAGCAATGGAGACGGCAGCTTCTACACGTCGTCGGCTTTCAACATCAAAACGGTCAACCTCTTCAAGAGCGATGGCTGCTACTACACGATTGCTGCTGACTTCAATGGAGACGGCATCACCGATTTGCTACGGGTGATGCGGGCCACATCCACCAGCAACAGCAACGTCTCGTGCGGCACTCCGCTCACGCATTACCTGTATCTGGGCAAGCCCGATGGCAGCTTCACCAGCGTCAGCTTGCCCAGCGGCATTGACTTCACGCAGATCACGGCTAAGAAGACGCGCCAGTTCAACTGCTTGAGTCCGGCCTCGACCACCTACAACCCGAACTGCACTGAGGCGGGAACGACCTACCTGGGCACTGACCAGACGCCGGGTGCCAACTTCCACCTGATCGATGTGAACGGTGATGGCTACCTGGACATCGTGACCACGCAGTTGCCTGGCTACAGCCGGACGATGACGATTCCGAGCGAAGCCACGCAGTGCGCGAGCGTCATCTGCACGCGCGTGTATCTTGGCAGCGCGTCGGGCGTCTTCACCGAATTGACGACGACCAACCTGGCACACCACAACGTCTACGGCGCCCCTTCGCGGGGCTTCTACGAATACTTCCGCAAGCCCTATGTGCTCGACGTCAACGGCGATGGCCTGGCCGATCTCTTGGTTGGCACAGGCCTGTGGACGTCCCAAGGTAACGGGGACTTCATCGCTCCGTCGGTTGATGCCACTCAGGCTGGATGTGCCACTGCCATCGACTTCAATGGTGATGGTCGCGGCGACTGTCTGTACGGCTCATCGGTGCCGAGCGCTCAGAGCCTCTTTGTCGGGGACGGCACTCTCAATCCCTCTGCCACTGCCAGTTTCAATCTGACGGGTCCCGGGCAGGAGTTGCTTGTCATCAACACCAATTTTCCGTTCTCTCAGACTGCCGGCACGATCATCGCCGACTTCAATGGCGATGGCCGGCAAGACATTCTTCGCTGGAAGGATGATGCAACGCAGAACGCCCTGTACCTGAGCAACGGGGATGGCAGTTTCACCACGGTTGCCAACTTCAGTTTGGCAGGTGTCCAGCTGCAGAACAGCAATGGCACGGCGACCGTGTTGCTCGGCGACTTCACGGGCCGCGGCTCCATGGAGATCCTGCGGCTGCAAACGGTGGGCGGATCAGCCACTAACCGCCTCTACGTCAAGGGCGACCCAGCACCGCCCGATCTGCTGGTCAGTGTCACGGGCCCCTCCGGGCTGAAATCCAAGCTGTATTACGTCCCGCTGAGCAACTCGACAGTGGCCAGAGCGGTTCCTTCCAGCTCCGCGAGTGACATCAACCTTGGCCTTCGGTATCAGAGCGATCTGGGTAAACCGGCGTATGCCGTGGCCGACGCCGCTGATCTGAGCTTGCCGATGTACGTCGTGGCCACACAGGTGGACGACACCGGGGTGGGCAGCAGCACTGTGACGACGGAGATGAGCTATCGAGGCCTGAAGGCCGACCGCAGAGGCCGCGGCATGCTGGGCTTTCGCGAAGTCCTTCGCCAGCGTAGTGGTGCGGACGGCACGCCGTTGACGGTGGACACGACCTACGTACAGACGTATCCCTACACCGGCGTCGCAGCCACGACCTCGACACACCGGAGCAAACTCAACGCTACCTCTGCGTCGACCTTGCTCAGCAGCACTAGCAACACCTACTGCGATCAGGGCAATGCCGCGGCTGCCTCCGCGAGCTCCAACTGCGCTGTGAACAGCAAGATAGCGCGGCCGTATCTCTATCAGAGCACCGAGGGAGGTCAGGATCTGGCGGGCGTGGCCTTGCCGACCGTGGTCACCCAGAACGTCTTCAACGGGACAGGTGATCCGGCCACGATCAGTGTCACGACGACCGGCACCACGGCTGGCGTTGCACAGACCTTCACCAAATCGGTGAGCAACACCTATTTCGCAGACAACACCAGCTGCACCAACTACCAAACCTGCTACTGGATCCTCGGTCGCTTGAACCAGGCCACGGTCACGAACACCGTTCCGAACAGCTTGGCAAGCATCCCAAGCAGCGCCGGCACCGGCACGTTCGCAACCGCGACCTCGGGCTCGGGGCCGGCTGTCAGCAGCCCGCTGAACTTGGTGCTCAGCAACTGTTCCAGTACCACGCCGACCCTCAGCCCCGCCTCTGCTTCGTACCAGTGCCAACTTGGCAATAGCGGCACCACCAATGCCTCCAACCTGACGTACGCCACGAGCTCGGCAGCCCTGGTCGTCAACGGACCGGCCAGCTGTGCGGCCAACACTACAAACTGCGGCACGGTCACGATGCGCACATCGGCTGTCGCTGGTGCCTACACGGGCTACTTCACGGTTTCCAGCGCCGGTGCCACGACCACCAGCACCACCGTGCCCTTGACCGTCACCGCGCCTAACGGGCTGGGTGTGAGCGCCGCGAGCTTCAGTCCTGCGAGCGTCGTGGCTGGCACCAGCAGCAACTTCAACTGGAGCACGACCAATGCCACGTCGGCCAGCGTGAGCTGTGCAGGCACCGGTGTGACGGTGACCGGCAACGCCACTACAACTGCGGGCAACATCACGGTCGGCACCACAGTGGCCACAACGGCCGCCAGTTGCACCGTGATCGCCACAGGTGCTAGCGGCGCCATGGTCAGCGGTAGCGCCGACCTCGCGATAACGCCCGCCGGTAGCGTGGGTGTGACTTCAGCCAGCTTCAGCCCCACCAGCGTCAATGCCGGCAGCAGCAGTAGCTTCAGCTGGACTACCGCCAACGCCGCCTCGGCGACCGTGAGCTGTTCGGGCGCAGGCGCAAACGCCACTGGATCCAATACGAGCGGCACCATCACCGTGAACACGACCACGGCCGGCACTGCCACCTGTACGGTCTCGGCTGTCGGCTCGGGCGGTGCCACCGCGATCGGTTCCGCAGACCTGACGGTGGCCGCTTCGGGTGTGCCAACGATCGGTACCAGCACGTTCAGCCCTGCCAGTGTTGCTGTCGGCGGCACGTCGACGTTCACGTGGAGCGTGAGCAACGCCACGTCGTCTTCGGCGATTTGCAATGGTGCTGTCACCGGGTCGGGCACGGGTACCGCTACCGGCGGCAGCCTCACGTTGACCGCGGGCGCCACGATTGGCCAGGGCTCTTGCACGGTGACCGCTGTTGGGACTGGCGGTAACGCCACCGGCTCTTTCAACATTGACGTTGTGCGAGCTCCCACTGTGAGCGGCTTGATCTTTAGTCCAGCCGTGTCCACAGCCACAGGAAGCGTCCCGAACTTTGCCTGGAACACGAGCTATGCGACATCGGCCAAGGTCGTGTGCACCGGTGTGCTTTCCTACAACGCCTCGGTTGCTTTGAACGGGAGCTTGAACCTGCCGGTGAGCGGCCCAGGCACAGGTACGTGCACGGTGACCGCTTCCAACGGCGGCGTCCAGGCATCGGCTTCCGCGACACACACGGCCTATGCCGAATCGAGCGTCACCAGCGCCTCCTTCAATCCAACCAGCGTGACGCTGGGTGGCAGCAGCACCTTCAGTTGGGCGACGTCCAACGCCAGCTCAGCTTCAGTGAGCTGTTCCGGCGCGGGCGTTACCAACACGAGTTCGAGCCTCAGCGGCAACATCACGGTCACACCGTCCAGCGCCGGGACAGCCACGTGTACCGTCACGAGCAGCAATGCTGCAGGCGCAACCTCGACAGGATCTGCCAGCCTGAGCGCGTCAGTACCGGCACCCACCCTCACGACCAGCCGAAATCAGCAGTATGTGACGGCTGGCGTGCCGCAGCAGGGCATCTTCAGTTGGAATGCTGCTGGCGGTGCAACGTCTGTGACCGCGTCTTGTACAGGCACAGGCAACCAATCCAGCACCTACACCGGTTCTTCACTGGTCAACGGCATGTATGTGGCCGGCTCCACGGCTGGTGCGACGCTGACTTGCACGGCGACCGCATCGAATTCTCAAGGCGGCACGGTAAGCAGTTCGCAGACCTTCGATATCGTGGCCGCACCTACGGTTCCAAGTGCAAGCTGGAGTCCCTCAACGATCATCGTCGGCGGGCAGTCGACATTGAGTTGGTCCAGTACGAACGCGGTCAGCATGGGCATTTCATGCTCCGGTGTGAACGGAAGTTGGTCGACGCCCGTCGGGGTGAATGCACCGTCCGGTAGTTCCACTTTCACGCCCAGCGGCACCGGCGTTCAGGCGTGCAATCTGACAGCAACGAACGCTGCCGGCAGCCAGGCCACGGGCAGCGCCAGCCTGACCGTCGCCGCAGCGCCCACCGTGAACACGGCGGTGTTCAGCCCGGCCGTGTCGACAGCAACCGGAAGCGTTCCCAACTTCTCTTGGACAACGAGTAACGCAACGTCGGCTTCTGTCGTGTGCACAGGCGTCCTTGCCTATAACGCCACGGTCCCGGTAAACGGAGCTCTTAACCTCCCTGTCAGCGGCCCGGGTACGGGCACATGCACCGTCACTGCCTACGGTGCTGGTGGTGCACAGGCAACTCGCAGTGCGACACACACGGCCTATGCCGCGCCGAGCGTGAGTAGCGCTTCCTTCAGTCCGACGACTGTGGCTGTCGGCGGCAGCAGCACGTTCATCTGGACGACGGCGAACGCGAGTTCGGCCACTGTGAGCTGCTCTGGGGCCGGGGCAACCGCCACGGGCTCGAGCACCAGCGGCAGCATCACCGTTGGCACCAGCAGTGCCGGTACTGCGACCTGCACGGTGACGGCCAGCAATGCCGCTGGGGCGACAGCGTCGCAGTCAGCTAGCCTGCCTGTGTCCGCCGTAGTGATACAGCGCTTCACAGCTTCCGGCCCTTCTGGGTCCACCTGGACCTTCACCAACCCCAATGCGTCAGCGCAGGTGGTGACGTCGCTCAGTTTGAGCTTCGGTTCCATTGGCAACCCGATGGGCGCGGTGATCACAGGCGGGACTTGCGCAGTCAATGGGTCTGTAGCCGCTGGCGGTAACTGTACGGTGATCGTCGGTGCGCCGACGCCTGACTGCACCGACAACAACTACAGCGTGGCGCCTGTGTTGTCGATGTCGGCAGGCTCGACGACGGGCTCATCGCTCAATCGGTACGCGCCAGCCAACGGTATCTGCCGGTGATGGACAACCTGCGTGTGTGAACGCCTTGAGGTCCGGAGCGTCAAGCAACGCGGACCAGTTTCAAGGAGATGCGGTGAGGGAGGTTTAGCGATGTTCAAGACCAAGGCCGTTCCGGCACGGAGGCGAAGTGCGGGTCGATGCTTCCTGGCTTTGGGCATCCTGCTCACCTGCTGGCTGAGTTCAGCAGGAGTACAGGCGCAGTCGCCAGCCAACATCTACAGCTACAGCCGCACGAGCAGCTTTGTGTACTACGGCGTGAGCGACGGCGCCTGGGCGGGCCTGCTCAAGAGCGAGATCGTTGAGCCGGGCAACCCGCAGTTATGCGTGGTCACGACCTACGAGTACGACCCGTACGGCAACAAGACCAGCGCCACGACAGCCAACTGCGCCGGTGCTACGGGCCGGGCCCAGTTCACCCAACGCAAAAACACCAGCACCTTTGCAGCCGTTGCCAGCCAAGCCATCGTCGTGAATGGCAGCACGATCAACGTGGCCGTGCCTGCTGGCCTGTTTCCCTCCAGCAGCGCCAATACGCTCAACCACACCGAGACCAAGACCTACGACCCGCGCTACGGAGCGCCGCTGAGCCTCACTGGCCCGAACCTGATCACGACCAGCTGGAAGGTCGACGATTTCGGCCGTGTAACTCAGGAGACCCGTGCCGATGGCACCCGCACCGTCACGGCCTACTGCACGCTGGGCGGGCTCGGCCTGGACACGTCGGCCAACAGCAGCGTGTCCAACGGTGATCCGCTGAGCTGCCCCAGCGGCAGTGCCGACGCCCCGGCCGACGCTGTGGCGTTCGTTCACAGCGAGCCGTGGGATTCGAGCAGCAACAAGATCGGCCCCTTCGTGCGCGTCTACAAGGACCGCATGGGGCGGGACGTGCGCAGCGTCACGCAGGCTTTCGACGGCACGGCCCAGGCCTCAGGCAAGGCGGGTGCGCTCGTCTACAAAGACACCGTCTACACCGCCTATGGCGTCAAGAGCATTGAGACCCAGGCCTACTTCGCAGGCAGTGGCAGCTCCACCACCAGCGGTGCCAACGACGTTGGCCTGAGCCAGATCGTGGTGGACGTGCTGGGGCGCCCCACCACCGTCTACGTGGCTGACCCCAACGGTGGAGCGGGGACCCAGAGCTTCGGCAGTTACGGCAGCCGTCGCGTGGCGCAGACCACCTACGCCTACGTCGGCTTGGCGACGACGACCACCAACGACAAGGGGCAGACCCGCAAGGAAGACAAGAACGCGCTGGGCGAACTCGTGCGTGTGACCGATGCCAGCGGTGCCACGCTCATTCACCAGCGCGACGCCTTCGGCAACCTCGTGCAGACCAAGGATGCGTTGGGCAACCTCACCACGCTGAGCTACGACTACCGCGGCCGCAAGACCAAGCTCCAGGACCCTGACACCGGCACCTGGAACTACGACTACGACGCGTTGGGGCAACTGGTCTGGCAGCAAAGTCCTAACCAGGCGCTCCAAACCGCCGAGACCACGATGGTCTACGACGTGCTCGGTCGCATGACCAGCCGCGCCGAGCCCGAGTTCATCAGCACCTGGACCTACGACAAGAATGCCGACGGCACGTCGTGCATGAACGGCAACACGAGCCAAGGCAAAGGCAAGCTTTGCCAGAGTGGCACCAAGAACGGGGTGAGCCGGCAGTACGTCTACGACAACCTGGGCCGCCCCACCAGCAGTCGCACGAGCATCAACAACGGCCCGAGCTTTGCCAGCAGCGTCAGCTACGACAGCCGGGGACGCGTGCAGACCCAGACCTACCCCACGGGTGTGCAGGTCGGCTACAGCTACACGACTCAATTGGGTTTCCTGGAGAAGCTCCAGCTCAACACCCCCGCCACCGTGGCGCCGCTCCCCAACGCGAGTGGGCAGACCGCCGCCGGCACCAGTCTGGCTGCCGGTGCAGTGCTGTGGCAAGCCCAGGTCGTGGGCGCCTGGGGCAAGGTTGAGCAGCAGGTCTATGGCAGCGGCATCGTCAACAGAGCCGCCTTCGAAGCGGCGACCGGCCGCATTACCAGCCTGACGGCCGGCGCCAACGACACTGTGCTGTCTCAGACCTACACCTGGGACAGCCTCAACAACCTGCAGACCCGCATCGACAACAACGGTGACGGCACGCCGGGGGCGATCTCGGAGACCTTCAGCTACGGCGACAGCCTCAACCGGTTGACCGGCTACAGCGTCACGGCCCCCAGCGTGCCCGGCTCCACCCGCAGCGTCACCTTGCAATACAACGCGCTCGGGATGCTGCTCTACAAGAGCGACGTCGCGAACTACACCTACAACGCGCAGGGCGGTGGCCCGGGCAGCAAGCCTCACGCGCTGAAGAGTGTGGCCGGTGTGCTCAACACCACCTATGGCTACGACGACAACGGCAACCTCACCAGCGCGAGCACCGGCAAGTACCGCAGCCTGAGCTACACGAGCTTCAACCTGCCTGACGGTGGCGCTGGCTTGCAGGGTGTCAACGGCCTGCCCAAGTACAGCTGGCAGTACGACGAGAACCACGCCCGCATTCGCGAAACCCATCAGGACAGCACCGGCACCCGGACCACCTGGTATCACCACCCCGACAACCAAGGCGGCCTGGCCTTTGAGAGCGAGGTCGCGCCCAGCGGCACGGTGAGCAACCGCCACTACCTGAGCGCTGGCGGCCAGGTCATCGGCGTCCTGGTGAAAACCGGCGCGCTGCCCATCCTGAGCGCTAACCAGACCACGCCGCCGACCTTGGCCAGCGTCACCCTCGTGAAGGTCGAGTACTGGCACAAGGACCACCTGGGCAGCCTGATCACGACGACCGATCACGGCGGCGCGGTGACCCAGCGTTACGCCTATGACCCCTTCGGAAAGCGGCGCTACACCAACGGCACCTATGACCCGTTCGGTGCGTTGGTTGTTGACTGGTCGAGCACGCAGAACGCCGGCACCGACCGTGGCTTCACCAGCCACGAGCAACTGGACGACGTCGGCATCGTGCACATGAACGGCCGGCTCTACGACGCCAACCTGGGTGTCTTCCTGCAGGCCGATCCCTTCATTCAGGATCCCTCCAACCTCCAGAACTACAACCGCTATGGGTATATGTACTACAACCCATTGAACGGCACTGACCCCAGCGGGTTCTGCTTCATGGGCTGCTTCTGGCAGCCCATGACGCAACTCAACAGGCTGGTACGGGTGGGGTATGAACTGTCCGGCCTGCGCTACTTTGGCGTGGACTTTCAAACTTATCGGGTGCTTGCCAGCATTGCAGTGGCGGTGGTTGCGCCAGAGTACCTTGCCTACTACGGCCCATTGGCGCAAGGGACACTGGCCAACGCAGCGACAGCAGGGTTCCTGTCTGGTGCAGTGGCGAGCGGCAACACCCAGGGAGCGCTGCAGGGGGCATTCAGTGCTGCAGCGTTCTGGAGTGTTGGCCAAGTGGTGGGTAATGCTGGGCTTACTCCAACGGGCGAAATAAGGGACGGTGCCAAGTTCGCTGGCGCCATTGCGCTGCACGGCGTGGCGGGCTGCGTGACGGCGGAAGTGTCGGGCGGAAAGTGTGGTTCAGGGGCTCTAAGCGCTGCATTTTCTAAGGCGGCTCTGCCATTTACTGCAGGCATGGATGATGGCCCTGGCCGCGCCGTAGCCCATGCAGTTGTTGGCGGAACAGCCTCAGTGCTAGGTGGCGGGAAGTTTGCCAATGGAGCGGTGACGGGGGCGTTCAGCTACCTCTTCAATTATTTATCCACGAGCAAGAGAGCTGAACGGATGGTTAACGAGATGTCTGCGCAATCTAAGGATTTCCGAGACGCTATCTCCGCCCTGCGCGCCTCCGGGGCCAAATACTCTATCGATATCGGAAACGATGTTGACGCGGGTGCGCACGGCGCGCAGGTTGCACTGGTGGGAGACGTTTGGGCAATCAAAGTAAATCCAAGTGTCCTAGTGGGGTTTGAGTATCGAACCAAGAATAACGGCTGGTATCCGCTCAATGCAGAAACCGGACTTGCCCACGAATTGGGTCACGCTCTCGCCATAGAGTTGAAGGGTTCGAATTGGGACACTTTTAATGGTCAATTTGCAACCCAATTTCAGAATAAAGTGATGCGTGCAATTGACTCAATGCAGCCGGAACGAAATGAGTTCAATCATCACGATGGCAGAAAAAGGGTTTGGCAATGATCAAATTTTCGCGACTATTTGCGTTGGTTTATATTGTCGACTTTGTATTCGGGGTGGGCATACTGTGGATGACTCTAGCTGACAAATCTGCAGCGGCCTTCGACCGTGCTTGGGTTGCCCTGCACTGGCCATCGTCTCAGTTCATTAATCCATTAGCTTTCAGGTGGGCGGCCGTCGATAGCGGACCAATGGCGCAATATCGCCCGGTTGCATGGCTTATTTTCCGTTGCGCGCTTATGGCGTTGCAGACGGCAACTTTAACTTGTTTGGTGCTTTCAGTGATTCGCCGCTTTCATCGATAAGCGAAGAGCTAGTGATCAATATTTCCGTCAAAACCAATTCGCGTGGTCGCGCCATAACGATAATCGGCTTGGTTTATGCGCGGTCTTCTGAGGTGTTGTGCTTGTAGATTCTTCCATCAAATTGCAACGACATTTCCAGTACCGACGTGATGCCACGCCGTTTGTTAATTCCCCTAGTTGCGTTGCAAGCGTTGCCTCCGTGGCGCCAGCCAAGTATCCACCCCAGTTGCCAATATGTTGAAGCTTTTGACACTGCTTTCCAGATTGCTTGAATTGATGCGGCGGCCGTTGAAAGACAGTTTGACTGGCTCAACAGGAGCAGGCTTATTGTCGCCATCGCAAAGCTGGGCTATTTCTATCTCGCTGCTCGCAATTGGCGTCTTCTTGACTTCAGTGCTAGGCATTTTTCTGTTCAGCAAACATCGAAGCCGTGACGATCTCCAACGCACTCGAGCAGCAATCGAACGACTGGATTTCCGCCTCCAGCATGACGTCTCTTTGGGAGGGCTTCCCGGGAACCTGTACGATGCAATTCCTGGCGCAATCGATGCAAGTGAAGCACTTTCTCGGATTCAACGAATATGTACCGCGACCCATGTAGAGTTGCTCAACATAGCGCGGCCCAAGGGAAGTGAACACCATTTCCAACCTGGGTTGGATGTATATGTCTTCGACTTGCGACTAAGCGGCAACTATCTGGATTTGAAAAGCTTCCTGGCTCAACTGCTCGTTGAGTCTCCCGAGCTTTGGCTAGCGCGCCTCCAGTTGCAGGCGGAGGGCTCCACAGTCGTTGCCAGCGTCAGCCTTCACGCATGGAGCGCCGACTTGAAGGCGGCCCCGCAAACGCGGCCTTTGGTGACGCCATGAGAACTGGTTTACGTTGGCTGCTGGGCGGAGTGATTCTGCTGACGCTGGGAGTGCTCGCTTTAACCGACGGCTCCCAGTCACAGACGCCTCAGCCGCTCATCCCGCCTGCGGCGCGCGCGCGAGTTGCACTGGCTGATCGGCTGGGCGACTCCTTACCGCCGTCAAGTACCGTGGCGGCAGTCGCTTCCGATTCGCGCACAACGAGGGCCAAGGCGCCAGCCATCGAGCGGTGGCCGGACTCTCTCGCCCGCCAGGTATTGAGCAGTGCCATCCGCGATCCCTTTCGAGCCTCGATGTCATCCGCTATTCCCGTCGCGGTGGCGCCTGTGCCGCCGGTCGCGCAGCCAACGCCCGCCGTTGCGCCGGTCGTTGTTCCCGCGATGAGCTATCGCTACCTGGGGCAACTCACGGACCCGGATGGCAAGCGGCTTGTAATGATCAGCAAGGGCGACAAGGACGTGACCGTCTCACGAGGCAGCCTGCTCGACGATGGATTCAGCGTCGTCGACATCCAGAAGACCCACATCACCATCGTGCACATCGCCACGAGCACCCTCTTTGAGATCCGAATTCCCGATGCCGATGCGTCGCCTCTCTGATTCCGCGATGTGGCTGCGCCTCGTCATTGGCACGCTCTGCGCATTGATGGTCGCTGGCTGCGCCATGGACCAACGACAGCGCCGCCAAGCCGAAGAATCGATCGCCCAGGGCCGGTTCGAAGAAGGTATGGGTGATTTGGCGCGCGCGCGATCCCAGCGGCCAGACAGCGTCACGCTGAAAGTGGGTGAACTCTCCCTGCGGACACAGCTCGTCGGTGAGCTCATCGACAAAGCCCGAGCCGCCGAGTCTGCCGGGCGCTTTCAAGAAGCCAGTGAGACCCTGCAGCGCGCACTGACCTTGGAACCGGCCAACAGCCGAGTTCAGGAGCGCCTGGCCAGTTTGGCGCTCGCTGTCACTCAGAAGGACAGGCTGGACCAGGTCGAGTCGCTCGCGTCGGCTGGAAAGTCTGCCCAGGCCCTTGCGCTGGCGGAGCAGGCCTTGCGAGATACACCTGCACACCCCGGGCTGCTCGCTGCTCAGCGTGAGCTGCGCGCCAAGCAGCGAGAGCAGGAGATTGCGTCCTCTCAATCCTCTTTGGCGGAGAAGCGCCCGATCTCTCTAGATTTCAGGGACGCCAACCTGCGCACTGTGCTGGATGTCGTGTCGCGCAGCAGCGGCCTGAACTTCGTGCTGGACCCCGCGGTGAAGCCGGAAATCCGAGTCACCGTCTTCCTGAAGAACACGCCCGTCGAGGAGGCCCTCGACCTGCTGGTCAACACGCACCAGCTGGCGAAGAAAGTGCTCGACAGCAAGACGGTCCTCATTTACCCCGCTACCCCAGAAAAGCAGAAGGAGCACCAGGAGCAAGTGGTCCGGGTGTTCTATCTGGCCAACGCCGACGTACGCGCCGCCAGCAACTTCCTGAAGGCCATGCTGCGCGTGAAAGATCCCTATGTCGATGAGAAGTCGAACGTTCTGGCATTGAGGGACTCGAAAGAGAACATCATGCTGGCCGAAAAGCTGCTCGCAGTCTTCGATGCCAACGAGCCCGAAGTGCTGCTTGACGTCGAGGTGCTCGAAGTCACCACCAATCGGCTGCTGCAGCTGGGTGTGAGCCCGCCGACCACCTTCTCGCTCACGCCGCTGCCGACGACGCCGATCACCACAGGTCAGTCGAGCAGCGGCTCTTCGGGATCGACCGCTACCGGCATCACGCTGTACGACCTGTTGCGCAACGTGGACAGCCGACATGTCCAGGCCAGCGTCGGCGGCATCACCGTCAACGCCAAGAGTTCGTCAGGCGATGTCACGACGCTGGCCAATCCGAAGCTGCGGGCCCGCAATCGAGAGAAGGCGAGCGTCATGATTGGCGACAAGATCCCGGTGGTCACGTCGACCATCGGCACAGGAGGCTTTGTCTCGGAGAGCATCAGCTATCAGGACGTCGGGCTCAAGCTCAACGTGGAGCCCACGATCTTTCCGAACGATGAGGTGGCCATCAAGATGGCACTTGAGGTGAGCACGCTGGGCGCCGCGGTCAAATCAAGCGGTGGGAGTACCGCCTACCAAATCAGCACCCGCAACGCGACCACGGTGTTGCGTCTGAAGGATGGAGAAACCCAGCTGCTGGCCGGCCTCTTGAGCCGCAATCGCGAATCCAGCAAGACGGGCTGGCCGGGGCTGAGCGAGATCCCCATTCTCGGCAGGCTCTTTGCCGACCATCAGGACGTCAACAACCAGACGGAACTGGTGCTCGCTGTGACGCCACGCGTTCTGCGAAACGTGCGCCAACCTTTGGCGCACGAAGCCGAGACTTGGGTCGGCACAGAGCTGTCGCCGCGGCTGCGCCCCTACGGCGGGATCAGCGTCGCGCCAACCGCCGAAGAGGCTTCCCCGAAACCCAAGGCGCAGCAGAGCCCCGAAGCGAGCCAGGCTGGATCGCCCCGGCCCTCCACGCCGACGGCTGAGTCCGTTACGGCCGCGGGCTCGTTCAAGCTGCAATTGCTGGGGCCTGCTCAGGTCAAGTCAGGACAGACCTTCGATGTCCAACTTGCGCTGGAGTCGCCACTGCCCATGCGCGGCCTGCCCGCAGAAGTGAGCTTTGACCCCGCGCGGTTCAGCTTCGTCGATGCGATGGAGGAGCCCTTCTTTAAGCAGGGCGGTGCAGAGACGAAGTTCTCCAAGACGATTGACGCCAGTTCCGGTCGTGTCACCTTGGGCGTCATCCGTATCCAGGCCACGGGCGCGCAAGGTCAAGACAAGGTGGCCACCTTGCGGTTCAAGGCATTGGACCCTAGTGACGGTGCAGAAATCCGCGTGACGCGCGCCATACCGCTCACGCTGGAAGCGCCGGCGCCTGCTCAGCCTTTGCCGGCCCCTTTGTTGGTCAAGGTACTGCCGTGATGCGCGCGTCCTCGAGCGGCCGACACTGGAAACACCGCCGACACGGCTTCACCGTCGTTGAGCTGTTGGTGGTTTTGACCGTGATGGCAGTCCTCGCCACGATGGCCATGCCGCTCGCGCGGATCGCCGTGCAACGGGAGCGCGAGCAAGAGTTGAAGGTCGCCCTTCGAGAGATTCGCGCGGCGATCGACGCCTATCAACTGGTTCGCGCTGCGGGCAATGGCGGCGCGCCGGAGGGTGTTTCCCTTTGTCCGCCTTCGTTGATCGCACTGACGCAGCTCATGCCGGACCCACGGCCGAGCTCTGGCGGCCAAATGATCCGCTTCTTGAGACGGGTGCCTCGTGACCCGTTTGCGGACCCCCAACTCCCTGCGGAGCAGACGTGGGGGCTGCGCAGCTATCTTTCCGAGGCTGCCAAGCCCCTGCCTGGGGCTGATGTTTACGACGTCTATTCGCTCTCCAAGCAACAAGCCCTGGACGGGACGTGGCTCAAGGACTGGTGATGCTGACGACCACCTCGCGCTCACGTATTCATACCAGCGGGTTCACCGTCATCGAGATGCTGGTGGTGATGACGGCTATCGCGCTGCTGCTGAGCGTTGCTGCGCCTCGCTACATCCAGCACATCGATCGCAGCCGAGAGGTCACGCTGCGGCAGGACCTCAAGGTGATGCGAGATGCCATCGACAAGTTCGCCGCGGACAAGGGTCGATACCCATCCACGCTGCCGGAGTTGGTGGCGCTGGGCTACCTGTCGAGCATTCCCGTCGACCCGATGACTGGCAGCTCTGTCACCTGGTTGACTTCGCCGCCCACAGCCGCCTTGGTGAGCTGGCAGTCCGGGATGCCGCCCACCACGCCCGCGCCAGAGGGGAGCGCGCTGACAGGGGTGGGCGACGTTCATTCGACGGCGACGGGTCTTGGATCTGATGGAACGCCCTATGCGTCGTGGTGAGGTAATCCGCCCCATGAGGGGCTTCACCATGCTGATCGTCCTCGGCCTGGTGGCTCTGGCGTCTGCCGGGCTTTCACTGGCCAGCTCGCGCTACACCTCGCAAGTCCAGCGAGACAAGGAGCAAGAGTTGCTGATCGTCGGGCGGATGTATGCAGCTGCCTTGCAGCGCTACTACGACTCAGCGCCGGGCAACCTCAAGCGCTACCCCAAGACCCTGGATTGGCTTGCGCGTGATCCCCGTTTTGCGGGCGTGGTGCGCCACTTGCGCAAGGTCTACCCAGACCCGCTGCAGCCGGACAAGCCCTGGGGACTTGCGTTCGACAGCAATGGCGGCATTGTGGGCGTCTTCAGCGTCAACTACGCCCAGCCGCTCGGACCTGCATCCCCCCTGGCCCCCGTCGCCGATGCCCGGCGTTACTCCGACTGGTTGTTTCTCGCCGATCCCAAACTGACCAACTTCACGCTTTCGATCACAGGAGCCCCACCATGAGAAGCTTTCAATTCGACCAGCGCTTTGAGCGCGGAAGACCAACCGTACAAGGGAGACTTCGCGGCTTCACACTGCTGGAGATGCTGGTCGTGATTCTCATCATTGGCTTGCTGACTGGCATCGTGGCGCCACGTCTGCTTGGCCAGATGGCCACCTCCGAAGTCACGGCGGCTCGTGCCCAGTTGGCCTCCATCGATAAGGCATTGCAGGCCTTCCGGATTGACAACAAGCGCTTCCCGACGACGCAAGAAGGTCTGGCGGCACTGACTGTCGCCCCACCTTCCGCGCCGCAATGGGCCGGGCCCTATTTGCAGAGTGCCGTGGGGAATGATCCCTGGGGCCAGCCCTATCAGTACGCGTTCCCGGGCCGACCCGGGCGCGACTACGACCTGTTCAGCTCTGGCCCGTCCAAGACTGGGGCGGCTGACGGCAGTGGTGGCGCCGTGTTCCTGAACTCTGGTCCCTGAACGTTCCCCGACCGTGGACTTCACCGCCAAGCTGTTCGACCCGAGCTCCTGCCAGGTTCAGGAGCGACAGGTCACGGCTACGTCTGCTCGCGAAGCACGTTCAAGGCTCGAGGCCGAGGGACTGACCGTGCTGGCGCTCGACGCTCTGCGCCAGTCAAAAGACGGGGCGCCCGACGCGTCGGGTACCAAGCTGGTTTCGGGAAGCTCCAAAGATCAGCGGCTCGACGTGGCCTGGTGGTGCCGAGAGCTGCGTACGCTGCTGGCGGCTGGTATGACGGTGGTCGAAGCCCTGGACACGCTCAGAGCCCAATCGCCTGAGGGTTTTCGCCGCCTGGTCCACCGGCAACTGGTTCACAGCCTGCAGTCCGGTGTGTCGCTGTCCCACGCCATGGCGTCAACCGGCGCCTTTCCAGCAGTGCTGACGGCGAGTGTCAAGGCCAGCGAGCGCACGAGCAACCTGATCGATGCATTGGATGACTACCTTCGGTACCACGAGCTCCTGGACAACCTGCGGCGCAAGGTCATCAGTGCGGCGATTTACCCCACGCTGGTATTCAGCTTGGGCATGACGATCACCTTCTTCCTGCTCGTGTTCGTCATCCCGCGGTTCGCTCAGGTGTATGCGAACAGGCCAGGTTCGGTCGGACCGGCAACCAGGCTTCTGCTGCAGTCGAGCAGCCTGCTGCACGATCACTTTCCCGTGGCCATGGCGATGTTTGCGGCTCTTGCAATCGGTGCGGTCTTTGCCTGGCGGCGTGGCTGGGTGGCGGTTGCCATCCAGTGGACAGCCGACCGAATTCCATTCCTTCAGGAGCAGTTGCGCGAACTGAGTTTGGCCAAGCTGTACCAAGCCATGGCATTGATGACGCGGGGTGGCTATGCATTGGCCGAGACAGTGGAGTTGTGCGCAGAGCTCCAGATCCATCCTGCGCTCCGTCCGCGGCTGCGCGCCGTTCGAACCGACCTGGTTCACGGACGTCGTGTATCGGCGTCGTTGCGTGCAGCAGGGCTGACCGATGAGGTGACGACACGGCTGTTGGCCGTGGGCGAACGGACAGGCAACTTCGACCAGATCCTTCAAGTCATCGCAAACCGGCATTCGTCCAACTTCACTCTGT